CCTAAATACTTCTCCTCTGAGGCAAGAGCATAAACTTTTGGACATAGTTCCAGATTCCTCTGGCCAGCTGCAAGCTGGCAAGTGCATTGGTGGGCTGTCTATAGCAATCCATCACAGGTCACTCCCCAGTGAGTTTCTTCCATGTTTCCCTTCTCAAATGGAAATTCAAGTGGCCAAGTTGGTTCTGAGTTCAAAGTCACCTTAAGTGCTTTGAACATTGAGCCACACACTGAAGCAGCAAGTGGATCTCTCTTGAACTCTTTAGAAAGGAAGGATGGGAGGAGACTAGCAGACATGAAGAGAAATACCAGTCAAAAAAAGGGAAGAGAGTAAAAGAAATCCTGCATTTTATTTTTGGAAGTATTTTTATTTTTGAAAAGTACATGCTAACTGAAATGAAAAGGTGCATACACTGACTTTTTGTGTATCAGGAGGAGTTAGGGGGTACACAACTTTACAAAAAAGGGACTATAAAATTTTGTTGGATAGAGAACATGGGTACACAGGGATATACATGGTGTCCTGACTGGATCTGTACTCTTTATTACTACCGGAGCTGCTGGCAATTCTTTTATGCATTGTAGCTATATATGAAAACTTAAATCAGGTATCAATATTCATATGTTTATTCACCTAATTCTGAACAAGTTAGCCTCAATGTTTGTGAGTGTATGCCATGAGAACTACAAGCTGATAAGCAGGGCTTTGCAATTTCGCAGCAGTTTGCACATGCATTGTGACCTGAGCTATTTTCCTTTTGAAGAATGACAGCTGATGTGCACTCTGCCATGTAGTCCCTCAGTGGGACAAGTGCACTGCTAGCCTGGTTTTCTGTTGCAGCAGCAATCATAGTGGGTAGACTATTCCTGCTTACAGAAGCCAAAGGTGTGCAAATCTCCATGCAAGACTGTTTTTTTTCTTTTATGGAAAACTGCTTTGTCACCAAGAAACAACTTCCCCTTAGCTTCTGTCTTTAAGGGCGTTTATTCTGCAGTGACTGCAGCTCAGGCAGATGCACGGAGCCAGCCTTCAACAACCTGGATCAGGCCCTGACAGCACCAGTATGAAGAATAATGAGGGCGTAAGTGTCAACCAACTGGCAAATCCTCGGTTGGGCATCCTGCACTGAGCTCTGCGACGAGCTGTCTGCAATGTGGCTGTTGGGAGTGATGTGGTGTAGTTTGAGTCTGTGAGTTGCAATCACTGCAGGGTAGATGAATCCTTCAAATCTCCTGTCTAGCTCCTGGCTCCATTTATCTATTTCAGCCTTAGGCTTGTAACTCCAGGAAATCTTTAGTGCAAATTGCTTATCTGTGACCATATGGGCCCCAAAGATGAGTCAAATGTTAAACATAAACACCTTGTGAAGTTGTTCCATCCATCAGAAAAGCCAGTACTGTCCACGAAGTGCATCAACCACCTGCTCTGACTGATACTACTTACAGGGTAGTTTCTTCTGAATGCTCTTGTATTTATCACTCATAATGCAGACCATATTACCGCTTTCTACTATAAAAGCAATTGCCTTGCACTCTCAATTTCTTTTGGAATCTTCTCATTTGGTGTCTTCACCCTTTGGCCAGAACTTTGATTTTATGTCATTAAGACATTACAATTCAAAATGTTAAATTATGTCATTACACAACACATCAAGGTTTACGCCTGTTGTTGATGGCTCACTCAAAATGGTGTTGATGAAGCTTAAAGCTAAGGTGAATTCTGACTATTTTTTGTTATCACCCTGCATGCCATTAGTTTAATAGCATGCAGGCCTTTAAGTCATTACCATTAGCTCCTAGAAATTAAAGAAAACCATGTAATACTGTTCTCTCCCCTCCTTTTGCTAATGATATAAACATAATGTGAAAGTCTTCTTAGAAATACCTTTTTTTTTCTTCAAAAGGCAGTTTTCTAAATGAAAAAGGTACGGATTGTTATGTAAAATTTGCATGATTAGGAAACTACATTAAATAGACTATAACCTGAAGACAGTCTGCTAAACTTGAGCTATATTTCTCAGATGTGAAACCCACAATGTAGTTTACTCTCACACCTAAGCAAATGAGAAATGAATAAGCACTATTTTTATCATGTAGTGAAAACGAAAACTTTCTTGTATAGCAAAAATACAGCCATCTTCTCCCATGAATAATTTTAACAGTCAAATTCCTTACTTATGAACATTCATTAACCTATGTAAATATACAGAACTGTAGTCATCAAAAGCATAGAGCAGGTGGACAATTCAGCATGGTAAGTCTACAGAGAAGTACAACTTGCTCTTTTTCTGTCATCTTCTCACCTTTTTACCATCTTGTTGCATTTCATACGCTTTTAACTGTTTCCTCGTCACCAATGCTCAGAAACAGCTGTGGTGCCAGGTACTGGCACAGCCACCGCAGACTCTCATTAATGAGCCTGTGGGAGCTGATCTGCAACGAAGCCTCCAGACAGAACTATTACCTGATTAAGAAAACAGCTGCCCAGCTGTCTGATCATTGCCTAACAATTTCTTGTTGAAGGTTTTTCCACATAAATGAACACTGTTGTGACTGTTATACTTAATTTACTGTATCTTCCTCTCCGCTGAGCTACCGCATAATGGTATCTACATGCGTGGGGCAAAGCCCCAGCAGCAGAGAAGAGCTGACAGGGCAAGCGGAGGTTCCTCTCGGGTACAGCGTTGGTTGCTCCCCAGGTGCATTCTCCCGAAAAGCCATGATGGAGCCACAACTGTCCCTTAAGGGGACACCTTGCTTATCACAGGCTATGGGATGTCCAGGCCTGTGACCAGAAGACATCACCACCACCAAGGGGAACGAGTCACTGGGGTCCCACCCAATGTACAGCCCTGACCATCTGACCACATTTTTTGCCCCTTGGAAGACAGCAGCAGCACAGGTACTCCTCCCTGAGAAAAGGATGCTCCTCATCCATACCTGCTAATCTAGAAGCAGGTGCCAGCACAAGCCTGGAGGCAGACCTCACGTATATGAGGAGTGGGAAGAAGGGATGAGGGGATGTTTAATATTCATGGCTACTTGTTATGAGGGCTTTCACTTCACATTGTAAGAGTAGCTTGGGAAGCTGAGCGTGGTATTGCTTATATCCTTAGTCTAATCTTCTTGTCTATATGGGAGGCATGCTAGTGATATTTGCATATTTCAGTATTTTTGCATCCTGACCATTTCCAAGAGACGCATGGATACTTTTCATGTGGACTAATGCTGATGAGTAGTTCTTCAGTATCTCTTAACCTGAACGGGGACAAGGGGACATAGTTTATGGGGTGTGAAAGCCTTCACGCATGTGCAGTGCGTGCCAGGGGTCCAGACAGGAGGTTGTTTGGTGCCAACTCAAGGACAAGTGTTGGCCCTAATGTTCTACCAGCTTCTTCATCATTATGGTAATGTACCATACAAGTAGAGTAATCAACACCCCCTCTAACCACAGACCACTGCCCCAAACCGGTCACCTGAGCATGCAGCCAGTGACTGCCAGGATTACAAAACCTGCCTCACAATCCTGGACATATGAACCCAAAGTCTTCCTCCTAAACACTATTAAACAACTTCTAGCTGCAAAAATGCATGAGTACTACCTACATATCCCAGTGCCTGCTTCAGAGTGCAGCCTTTTTGGCTGAAACCTTTGCTTGGTCTGCGGGGACCATGCCCCAGAGCTCTGCTCCACCAGCAGAGTGTTGGGGATGGCAAGCTGCAGCCTGTCTTGTACAGAGATCAGAGACCACTGAAGGGAATTAAGTGCTCGTGCCTTGTTGTCTCAGTAGGATGTTTGCTCACTAGGATGCAGGCAGGGTTTCCTGGCATCCAAAAGGCCAGAAGAAGGACTGATCTCTGGCCAGCAAAGTGGAGAGCGGGTGCTCTGCTGGTACTGGTACCTGCCGTGTCCCCACCACTGATGCGGGTGGTGGTGTCCACCCATGCCCCATCTGTGCTCTCCTGGGACTCCTCTGGGGCTGTGGCTGTGCCTGGTGGCAACACATGCAAGTGGGAAATGCTGGGGGGCTGCAGAGGGATTTAGACTTGCCCTGTTGTTGCTTAGCAGAAGCTTTTTGTGACGAGTGGGGAGAGGATGTCCTTTTTAGAAGACAAGTTGCCTTTTTTCTTTTCATTTGAAAGACAGTTTAAAAAGTGGTGAAAATTAGGCTTGACTGTGAAGGACAAAGTGGGGTGGGTCCCTTTTTGTTGAGTTCTGTTTTGCTTTGAAGCTGGTGGTGTGGTACATTTCTGTGCTTAATCCAAGGAAAATGAGCTGCTGAATGATTCTGTCCGACATGCTGAGGACCAAATGTTCTGGCAGGAGCTTGTGCCAGGGATGTGAGAGGTGATGAGCCTCCAGAAGCTGTTTTTTGTTCATAAGGTGCCAAGACATATGAGGTTCTTTGATACAAGTAGTTGTAGGGTTCAGGAGCTCTGTATGGTATAGACAAATCAGACACAGTGCTGATGCCAAAAGCACTTGTGGCATAGCTTGATAAGTATTTTAATTTTCAAATGCAGATGAATATTATCCTTACAGAAAAGGGCCACAGGGACAGTCCTTGAAACTGATGCCCTCAGTTTACCTGCAGAACAGATGTACACATGCAATTGCAAGCAACATACACTTTCCTTAACCTACAACATTAGTAGGCTCTAACCTGGTCTGGAATCTCATGTGAAGTTCAGTCTTCAAGTCCACTTCTCTTTGGGCTGAAGGTTCAGCAAGCTGGGGCCAGTGTGCTGTGCTTTCAGATATATGGATAATGGTCCTTCTGGAGCAGGACTGAGACCAGCTATTTTTGTACAACACAGGCTGCCAAACAGCTTTTGATTTCCAATCGAGTGGTGAAGGGCTCCTAATATCTTTGCTATTATTAGAAGCAACCTACAGAATTACAAAGGTGGTGGATGAGCTGAATGCAGAATCCTGCACTAGGGGACACTCGGTGAAAATAGTAGGGGATCAATGTGAAACAGATAAAAGAAAGTACTTCTTTAGCAGTCAGTAGTGAGCTTCAGGAACTCGCTGCCATGTGGTCCTGTAGAAACCAACAGTATCAGCAGGTTCCGAAGGGATTAGACAGACCCAGGGACAACAGGCCAGTTAAAAAGACAAGGCAGGGATATGCCTTCTGTAGTATCTGCCACATCAGATACACAGCTGTGGATGCTGGGGGAGTAAGAGGGGAAGGGGCTGCAGAAATCAGCCAGGCTTGCACACGCTCGCCGAACAGCATCTCTCTTCTTGCAACTGTGTGATAACCTGCTGTGCTGAGCCAGTTTCCTGTTTTTCATCTAGAAATGTGTTTTATCCCCAACCCATTCCATGAATATTCAGTTACTACAGTATTCTAGATTCCTGTGAGCTGACTAATGAGCTCAAAGCAACACAATCAAATAAGAACTAGGATTCTCCTTCATTCCTGGCTCTGATCCTTAGTCCACTGGTGCCTCGCTGTATAGGCGGTTCCATTACACAGCTCATTACCAATCTCCAAAGCCAACATTCCCTCGTTACTGTGTACTGTGCTAACACATATAGTGGAATGCCATGTTACAGCCATTCATATTACAACGCAAAATCTTAAAGGAACCAAATGAACAAATCTTCCATGGGGTACAGAAAAAGATGGAGATGGTGAAACTTAAATGCTAATGGAATAATGTACAAGTGGGTAACACAAAACCATCCCATCCACAGCTCTAAAAACTGTTAAGTCATGCATAGTGCAGCAATTACGGCAATTTCGAGCTTTCTTAGATTTTGGAGGCTGAAAAGCAAAACTTCCTCTGCCCCTTGCATTTCCTCTTTCCCAGCAACTTAGGAAGTAAGCCAGCATGCCAACTTTTAAGTATAAAATAAAATGAAACCGATCATTGTTTTAAAGCAATTGCCCTTGAGGCCACCCAATAATAGTGTTTCTAAAGCAGTCCTACCTTTGTTTTCCAACTTGAGCTCCTCTGCTAGCAAGCTGTCTTGTCTGTTGCCAAGCACAAATGCCAGAAATGAGAGGATCAGGGCATCCAAGATTCCAATAATTGCCAGGATATATGCCCAGCGGACTGAACAAGCCCCCAGCGTGTACTTGTCTGTCTTTTCACCACACATCCGTTTTACCTCATCTGAATCCCAGCCATCAGGAAAAATCATACAACCCAGGACGAGACAGGCAGCTTGGAGAAAAAAGAAAAGGAGAACAATGGGATAATGAGACCAAACTTTTCTTTTGATGAGAACCTACACAGTTATCATTAAAGCAACACACTTCTCCATCCTAAGTTTCAAAGCTAGGTTACTTAAAAACAACTCACAGAATTATATGCTGTGGTTAAGTATTTAATATAAAAACCTAAGAGACGATACCAGTTGCGCAGCTTGCTTAAAAAAAAAAGTTACATCCTGAATCCCTGGCCAGTTTTTGTACCAATACAATCACATTTTCCTGGTGAGACTGATTTCTCCATTGTAATATGAAAGGCTCACACAAAACAAAAGGGGAAAAATATTAATAACCTGGATATTCAAAGGAAACACCGGATTACTATCAAATGGTCAGGCAAACAAACCAGAGAAAAATAGATGAAAAAACTACCTATCGTTTCTGGTAATCTAAGTGCTTGTAACACAGATAGGTAATAGCAAGGGTTTTTTTTTTGTCAGTTGGCAGTATGCCTTTAACCAAAATATGTTTTATGCATAAAGTTTGTACTCCTCAAAAACACAAGTAATGATATTGTTCTGCAAGGAAAAATAAGCTGTCAACATTGCTGTCAACTTCTGATCTGGTTCACCTGAGAAATCACCACATGACATCTCAAACACGAAAAAGCGCTGATCCTTTTAACACCAAGAAAAATGAAAAACATCTACCCATATGGAAAGCTAGATGACATCGACCACCAGCCACTCTGGGTAGGAGCAGCCATACCATGGCGGGGACAGAGGCAAAGGGTGGGTATTTGGGTCCTCATCCATCAGCCTGGGTGACACTAAAAGGCTGAACTTAATTTTTAAGTAGCAGAAATTTGGTTTGACCCTTGGTTCCCAGGGAAACTGCCCTGCTGTGGGACAGCAGGTAATGTCATGGGCCAACGTGGCTCTTGTGGAGCAGGCAAAATGGTGTGACAAGTTTGTTTTTTCAAAAGTAATGTGCTCCATCACCTGAAGCAGAGTCAATCTGGCCCACTGGCCAGCAGTCGCTGTGATGTTCCTGCCTGGACGGCGCCAGGGTGAGGGCTGAGCATGCACCGCTACCTGTGCCTGGCCACCCACACCTTGGGTGGGACATGTGTGCTCCTGGGCAAGGAGACCTCAAGCATGGTCCTGCTGGGCTCTAGAGCATGGTCACAGTCCTTACCCCAGCATCTTACCAGCCTGGGTTTGGCCACAGCCTTGGGCTGGCACAGGACTTGCTGTTCAGACACATGTCCTGAGGTCACTGGGGAGCAGCCTCCTTGGAGGTTGTTTGCCCCTCTTCCTACTGGAGTGTGTGCCTTGCAGCGGAGGGTACCATGACAGGGATGCAGCAGCAGGGCCTCTGCCCCTGAGAGGATACAATGTGTCCTGAGGTGGTGATACATCATTACAGAAACAGGCAAAAAAAAGAAAACCTGCACACTGAATCTTCACTAACATGGCCTCTCCCCACTAGCTGAGAAAATCCACGGGCTGAGAACACATGCCAATATGCCAATCTCATAGGACTGGACAGAATCTACTTCTGCGTAGGACCTGGCTTCCCACTGCCCGCAGGGACTGTCACCGGGCACAGCTGAAGGAGTGTAGCGAAGGCATGACTTGCACCTTGCCAGTTGCTTTTGGACAATGTCTTTCCCTGGGAAACCCCATGCGGGTTGGCCCTGCTGTGAGTGGGGTGATGGACCAGGTGGTCTCCAGAGGTCCCATCCAACCTGAACTGATTTTTGGCAGGGAGCCAGCATGTTGGTAACAGGGGACAGAGCAGTTGGGTACTCACGGCACATTTCCTATCAGAGCAATGGGAAGAGTGCACGGATATGCTTAACTGCAGCCCTTGGTTGTGCTGACAGACTCGTTGGCTTCACTGAAGCAAACAATGTGAGTGCAGCACTAGCCAGGGCAACGGCATAGGGGCGTCTTCAGCAGGGGAGGATAGGATATAAAAATTAAGTAGAATAAGAAAAATCTAAAAATAAAGATTATGTTGAATGGGTTCATTCCTCAGTTTTTATTGCATTTAGGAGAATCAGAAAATACATATGCTTTCAGTAATTGCCTGTGCTGTCTTTCCTAACTTGGAAACAAGCATATTTCCAGCATTAGCCCTTCTTTCTTAGTATGGCTGATGAGATACAATGTATCCTAAACCATCTTTTGTAAGTCTTAATATTATATTGGTTAATATTATATTGGTGCACTGTGGTCTACGTTGCAGGTATATGTGCTAATTGAAAAGAATACACTGTGTGGCTTTCAGCCTTTTAAATGGCTGCTG